AGCCATTCCCTTAATGCCGGCGCTCATGGAAGGGATTGTCGGCTGGAATACTGTTGTCATAATAGATGGGGAGTTCCTCCCGGCCCTACCCTTAGAAATGCTTAATAAAGGGGACCATAAGAAAGGTATGAACGTAATGATAGGCGACCCTCAGGACGAGGGCTCCTGGATCTTGTGGTTTAGTGAGGACTCTGTGAAATATAGCCCACAAAACCCGGCGCCCATTACCCATATGGAGGCCTACAACGAGTTAAGTAGGATTTCCCGTAAGATGTGGTCCAAAGAGCCCATTGACGGGGAAATGGTGTCTAAAGTATACTTCACGGGTCTGTCTGACGAGACCCCACAAGATATACTCAGACAAACGATAGGTGTGGCCATCGGGGACTACCTGTTAAGCTGTCCGGGCATACAGTTTGCGAAGACTTTATACGAGAATGATGTGAACGATAGCCGTGTCTATCAGTACTACTATAACTTCAAGTTAGGCCGACCTAGACTGTTATGTTCCGAGTGGTCAGGTAGTTGTCATTACGATGACGTCCCCTCCGTATTTGGAGTTCCCTTCTACCAGTCCGACCGTTTCTTAGACCGGGAACGGGAGGTATCCGAGCAAATGATCGACATATTCGCTACTTTTGCCAAAACAGGGTAATGTATTCATTATTCTGACATTTTATCAATGAGTTATCAATTGAAACATAAAATTATTTATCACTAATCAATACAAATCGCGATAATTACTAGAATTACTAATATTATAATACAGGCCATTCACATTCAATATTAATGATAGACAAAAGTGTTGTGTAAATATACCCGTGGTAATCTAAGTGACACTAGTAATGTTTATTGATTATTAAACGACATTATTGTCAATTTATAAATAATTTATAAATTTAATTTTTTAGTTAACATTATTAATGAAAACTTTTATTTTTAAAAATAATTTTTTACGAACTGATAGTCAACCCCCGGCACAAGACGGCGCCGATTGGGAGGCCTACTATCGGTTGGATAACCACACGATTAGACCGTATTATGAGTTCACAAACGAACCAAAACCGGTCACTAATTTCGGGACCGGACTTAAGGTCGTTGAGTGCGAGTACTTATGGAAAAAGTATATCGATCAGCAATAAATAAAAATTAACCGGGTTATTGTTATAAATAAATTTCACCTGTCACCTGAAATTATAAATTAATAATAAATATTTCTCTAACAAGTTTAAACAGACAATTATCTATAGCTTATATAAAGTAATTGTTATATTTAAAAATGTTTATTTTTATTTGTATAAGATATTAGTTAAATAATAGCTTGCTTTGACATATCGTGTAAAAATGTAATAAGATTTACATGATCATAAATTAATATAACAATTAAAATGATTTCTAAAAATCTAAATATTCAAATTAAAGTTACTTGACATATTCATACATAAGCGAACCACCAATTTAAATAATCTATAACCACAATTTTACTTGATTATATAAAATCCAACATACTCTACCAAATAAGTAAGTAGTATACTCAAATTAAATACAGCAAATAATTTTACTAAAAATTACAAAAAATAGGATCTCCAACTCCCGGGCCCCTACACCTCATCAAAGCTGTCAAACAATTCAATTAATGGCAGGAAAAACGATTTGGTCCGCAGTTTGGGATCGGATGTCGGCTTAAATCCGTTGAATTGATCGCATTTGTCCG